CCCCGATTATCTTTGTGGCCCCCCTCTGGACTAACTCCAACAGTCCACATCCTTCATGTGTTGTGGCCTCCAGAACTGGACACAGTAATCCAGGTGGGATCTCACCAGAGCAGAGGGGCTGAATCACCTCCGTCGACCTGCTAGCCACACTTCTTTTGGTGCAGCCCTGCTTTCCAGGCTACAAGAGCATATTACTGGCTCAGATTCAGTTTTTCATTACAGTTGTCACATCTTTGGACTCCTTCAGGAATTATTCTTTTCAGGGATATTTCTTTTCTGGACTTACAACTGCTATGACTAATAATTGTATCTCAGGAAGAGAAGTTGGTGAGAGATGTAGTGTGTGTGCAATGTGTAGTTATTTTATGTAAAATGGGGAGGGGAAAAAAAGAAAAAAAGAAACAATGTGAACAGATCATAGAATCATAGAATGCCGGGTTGGAAGAGACCTCAAGGATCATCTGGTCCAGTGTTTCTAGGCACTACTCTAGTTGATATGAGATGGCTTAGCACCCTGTCCAGCTGAGATTTCAAACAGTCCAATGTGGTGGACTGTTTGAAACAGTCCAATGTGGGGGAATCTACCACTTTCCTTGGGAGACTGTTCCAATGTTTGACTGTCCTCATGGAGAAAAATTTACCTCTTGTGTCCAATCAGCAACTTGTGCCCATTACCCCTTCTCTTTTCCCTGTGACTCCTTGTAAATAGGGAGTCTCCCATTTTCTTGATAGCCATCCTTAAAGTCTATTCTTCTGTCTTTTCCCTTAGAACTTTTTCAGTACCAAGCAAATGTGGCTCAAAGGGAGAGGTCTCATAGATAATGGTATTTCAGCAACTTTCATGAACACCCTATGTTCCTGGACAGAAAAAGAGAAAAAGAAATTACTCCCAGAAAGACTCATAGCTGAAGGCAGCCTTGCAGGGTGAGTCCTTATACACATTAGCAACAAAGAATCAGCAGAAGAATGGGTAGCAGGCAAGAGAAACCTTGAGAGATCCAGCCACAGCAAAACTTCTCTGATTATTGCACTTTACTCCAAAATGCAAATCACAGAGAACTCAACATTAGGTCCAGCACTCACAAAGCTAGGAGCTGTGCCTCTGACTGCAGCACACTTCTGGAAATTCCTGTTGCCTAACTTTACCCCAGATCATTGAAACATGCTTTTTTCTTACTTTTTTATTTTCTTCTTTTTTCTTTTTTTTTTTCTTTTTTCTTTTTCTTTTTTTT